AACCTAAACGATTCTATGATTCTATGATTCTATAATGCCAAGGACACTTTCCTATGAGTAAAAGCTATTTCAGAGCTCATCATTTTGTATGCAAATTTAAGGGGTTTTCCCCCTCACAGCCACTGCTTTTCATTTAGCTACAATGAATTTAATTTGCCATTTTATTACCAAGTCACTCTGCGTGAGGTCCTTCTGCAAACTCTGCCACCAACTTTCATATTTATTACCTTAAATAACTTAGTACATCAGAACACTGCCATCTCACTGCTCAACCCTTTCCCAAGAATCTATTGAACAATGAAGAACATGAATGCACAAAATTGCTAAGCTGAAGAAATCTTTCGTTGTCCACAGTACCAAAAATAGCTCACCTAAAACAAAGGATCTGCTTGGGAAGACACTCATCACTCTCTTGCTCAATATAGTGGCTCTGATTTCTTTAACACTAAGAGCTGTGTCATTGACTCTGTATTAACATTCAGCTTGAAAGTGCCATGTAAATTATTTATTTTCAAACCTCTTCTCCAGGTTATGTCACAAACTATGTACCTTTATGTCTCTTATTAACTCTTCTAATTGCCTATAAATATTTGCCCTCAAAAAAGCCAAGAATTAACGTGTATTTTTAATATCATCCAGGCAATCAACATCACAAACCTCTTCCTATATTTTAATAGCACAGTTTAAACTAAGGCAGCAGGATTCTGCAAACAATGACATCTTTTCTTTTTTTTTAAAAAAAGGCGGGGGGGTTGTAAGAGACTTAAAAAAGGAAAAAGAAACATGCCTAAATACCTTGGGTGCGAAGATTATGGCCAAATTATTTAATATCTCCCAATGCACAGTAATTTCACTAGATACCAGGACACTAAATACTGTTATGAATCTAGAACTATGTTATTGCTATGAAAAGGAGAGATTAAGCATATTTTTAAAAGATGTATTTAATTTTCCTCAGTAGTAAATAAAAAGGGAAGTAAACTTATATGCTTACCTCTTTTCATTCTTGCCTAAACTATTGGTTATCTTCATTTTACAGTGGAAAATGAGGGACACAAGGAAAGTGAAATGATACGTTCAGATCATCAGGTAAACCAGTGGCTGAGCTTAGAATGAATGTAGGCATCCTGCCTGTGAGTGCTCTATACACTATGTCACACAGTACATTTAGAGCAACAGTTGTCTGAAGATGGTACCTAGAGCTGAGCCAACAGAACTCTGACAAAGAAGAAAAAAGAGAAGCAGAGGAGGTGATGGCAAATTTTTAAAGACTTTGCAAATGTATTACCAGAGAGTCAGAAAAAGATACAGGAAAGTGTAAGTAGGATGGTTAAAGAGATGTTCTTCTACACCAGAAACAATGAACAATCCAGCAACAAAGCAAGTACGCAGAGGGTAGAGGTCTATAAAATCAAGAATAGCAAAGAGAGGGTGACAGAGAAAAAAACATTCACTGTATCTTCCAGTAAAAGAAGCAGGGAAATCAGGTGAAACTAGCTCGTGGAAGTTTTACACAGGTTGCAGATCAAGTGCAGTCCATACCACCACAGGAGATTGTAGATACTCATCACATGTTTAAAAAGAGTTTACACAAATTCATAGAAGAAAAATTATCAATGACTGTGGAACACAAGGATGACATGGCTGGTTTCTGCGTTTCTATGCTTGAGAAAATATTTTGACATTATGAAGCAAATGAAGGAAGAATTGTCTGAGTCGAGGCTAGCAAAGCAGGAGAACAGGTTGCCTGGGAAAGTTAGGGCATCTCAGCCATGAGAAGTGTTAGGAAATGGTATAAAACACGTATAGAGGATTCTGTTTTATTATACAGTGATCAATTGAAAAGTCTCTTTAAATCCTATCCAGTCATATCCGGGCTGAGTCCAGGGTATGTGTGAACATGTTGTGTAGATATAATCATTACTATGGTAATCAGCAAAGCTTGACCAGAAAATCTCTCTTAGGATTTATCTTGAGCAGTCACAGTATGTTTACAAGCAGCTTTACTTGTTTGCAATTCTATATATAAATGGATTAATTAACATATAGTAGCTAACACATTTATAACCTCTCTTTCAACTGGACAGATCTTTTAAAAAAACAGATTTTAAAGGACCAGTCACAGGAAATAGCCCTGATATTTCTGTATCAGCTTCACAAATAACTGAAAACTAAGCCACGGAATTTTATATATTGTTGGGTTCAATTTCAGTTTCTAAGAACAGTTACTGATGGTTTGTGGGTTTTAAATTTATTGGTACATGAATTATTCTTAAAGTGTAATCCCAATTCGGGTAAAATGTCTATACTTAGTAAGCAGCACATGTTTCCCACAGGTTACCACAGTGTAACATCAATGCTTGTATTTGATAACTGAAAAGAAATACCATATTGGAAGAAAGTAATAAAATAAAACACATTAAGCAAACATGTTAGTAAAATAACTCAGTACTAACCTGTCCTCTTTCAAAATGTGAGTGTCTTAGTCTCCTTTTGCAGGAATCTCCCTGCTCTCCAAATAGCGTGATAAATACATCTGCATCAGTCCCTGATGCAGGCAATGTGCCCGTATGAACACTGATCGAGTAAAGAACTCCTGTCATGAAAAATCAGTGACACAAGACATTACCAAATGTGACTATTTAACAATATAATTACCAAACATTACAAACCAATTTATTTTAGGTAAAAGATTAATTTCAAGACCAAGGAATGAAGTTATAGTAATTGACATTAATGCTCTGTCTGAGTTTCATATAGGTTGCTAACTACCTCACATCAGCACAGTACAGCATTATAGATGGAATGTCATTTATGAATCAACTGAAAGAATCACACTGATTTTATCAGGCTTTGTAAAAAGCCTTGAATTCTTGTAGGAATTAAAGGTCTTCAACTGAGTTAGGATTTATCAACTCTAACAATATTTTACCAAAGAAAAAACACAGATATAACAGATGAAATCCACTTTTTGTTCTAGATCAGCTGAATTCTGTTTTAGTCTGGCATTTTAATAATTATGGCCAATATCAAGTAATATGTTCAGGAGAAGTGGCTCAGCTATTTATACAGATATGCATTGTTATCATTATTCTTCACCATGAAGGATGGCTTGCCATGACTTTTGGCTGATGAGTTATATAGTACATATTCCTTGAAGCAGCATGACAGAGGATTTTTTTCTATGGGTTCTGTAAGCTCTGTGAAGAATTAAATGTTATAACAGACTGTTAACATATATTTTGATTTGCAGTCTAGCCTTCAGTTAGATATTAAATGCAAAAAGTTTTAAATTTTTTAACTAAGACTTCTGTTCATAGAGTATAATGAATGAGAATTCTTTTCTAAATATTTCATAAAATATAATCAGAAAATAGGAAGATGTTATATTTTAAATACAATGATGAAATGAAACAGAGAATGAAACAGAGCTTCTGGGGCAGAAATGGAGCTCAAAGAAAACCTCAGAAAATATTGTTTTTTCTTTTTGCAATTCATGCCATTATGGCTTTGCACATGACTTTTTAAAATCTGTGATTTAGTCCCTCACCGAGTGTAAATTAGTTGGGTTTTGGAAAATTCAACAGAAATACACTAATTGGGCTTTGTGTATTTTTCAGACTTTCAAATTGGTACTTAGCCTAGTGAAAACAATATATGTCCGTTGTTTTAAAACAGAAAAAATGCTTGAAAGACCCCACATGGTTTACAGAGATATATTGAATGACTCTTTAAAAATAATTTTGAGTGGCTTTTTAATATATATAAAAAACTTTGTAATCTTGCCCATTATGTTCATCCCATTAGGCAGTTCACAATCATGTGTGTGAGTGTGTGTGTGTTTGCTCATGTATTTATTTTTTTAGTTCAGCAGCATACCCCTGACTGGTGGCTTGTCTGGCCTGACCACTGCTAGCTCTGTCACAGTCTCAGATCCGTCTTCTCCAAACAGACTTTGAGCTTCAGTGTGAAAACCCAGCTCTTGTTTAGTGTCCAGGTCTTTTAGCCGAAGCTGCAGGCAGAATCAGAAGAAGAAATTCATTTATCTAAATTATTTTGTTTCTTATTTCCATCCCAACAGAAACAGGCATTTCTTCCTATTGTTAACACCTGCACACACTTTATAAAAGCTACCTGATTCTGCATAACAAGAGCTACAGTAGTTGCTGCAAGCCACTGATTGTGCAGCCTGATGTTTATAGGTGTATTCATCGCGTATCAACACAGGCATAGGACCCATTTGTAGAAAACCAATGAAGGATACAGATTAAATTGACCTGTATATACTTGCAATTTCAGAATGTCAAATGTATGAATACAGTTACATCAATCTTAATAGCATACGCCCATTTTGCAAAAACATTTGTTTTGCTGTTTTTTCTTTGTTTACACGTGACTTGCTGTATCTCAGCTAGGATTTTCAAAGTTGGCAGAAATCAGGTGTCCAGTGGCCTTCAGGGGTCCAGGTGGAAATAAGTTATTTGGAAAATGTATTCCAATAGAAGGTGCGAGCTTAGGTCCAGCTTCATTCCACCTGACTTTAAATACTCAGTGGAGACTGAACAGATTAGGTTCCAAATCTGTGAACTTAGAACCTCCAGACCAACTGAGGAAGCACAGCCTTGGGAGCCCACCTATCCTAGCTACTGAGACACTTAATGTGGAGGTCAGATTCACCAGAGGGAACTCAGACTGTAAACTTTATCCTAGGTCAGGTTATAAAATACAGAATGACAAATTATCAAGCATATGCAGAAGCATTTCTGGTAACTATTATATGCAGGACTGAACTTGATACATAGCTAATGACTACAAATTTGCAGAAATGGTTTCTTCAGCCTTTAGAATCTCTTTGTATAGAAATAGTATATTCAAGACATTGAAACCAAAACTTAATTTCACCAAGACATTAAGTAACTGAAATTCTCAGGCAAGGATTCCCAAAATTACTGTGGTGACTTATTACCACTGTTGACACCAGTGGCAACAACAAAAGTTTGTGACTCATTGTACAGGATACACATATCACTGTTTGGAATTCCTGAGTACAGATTTCCTTACATAGACTTCAAGTGCAAGCTTTGAAATGCATAAATATTTATATAATTGAATTATATAATTGAAATTATTAGGAATTTGCCAGTTCCACTCTTAAAAATTTTGTCAGACTATCTTGCCCTTTGAGTTTCTAGAAATGTAATTACTGAATATTTTCCATTCTTGCTTATGCTTTTTGCCCAGTGCTTCACAAGATCAGGTATAAAGCTTCCAGACAAAAGTAAACAATTCCGCATGACTGTTTCCAGAATTAAACCATTAATTACTTGAATAAACAGTGTTTTTCTTTAGATAGTATTAAATTCCACTAAAATTGCAGCCAGTTGTTTACCCATTTTTTGCACTTGCAATAACTGAATTTTCTCACACTAAATGTCTAACTTCTTCTCATACAAAAATATCCTCCCTAACTTCTATCAATATAAACATCCCTAACTAAATATCAATAAGTATCACAAACTCCTATCCATTTTAAAATTGGACTACGGGTTACCTGCATATGCAGGCAGATGACCTGCAGAAACTGGACTCATAAAAATGAGATGTGTAAATTTATGCAGACTTTGGCCTTAAAATAACATGTACCTGACAAATTCTTGTTAGTTGTAAGATTACATCTAAGTGTGAACTTAATCTCCAAATCATATAGTGTTTCTATATGCTATACAAAAGTAAAAAGGATTTTGTATTTTATTTTGGAAAGGGCCAGAAACTATTTTTGAGCAAGAAAAAGCTACTCATTCTAGAGTATATAAATCTTCAAAAGATACAGAAAAGACATAAATTTTAGCTAAGGTTGTATCATTTTCTACAGAAATGTGCAGAAAACTGTAGGAGATACCAGGAAAAGCTCTGGTACTCTGAAGCTTCTGCAAACACCAGAATAGAGAAAACAGAGTAGCAAAAGGAATGTAGGGTTTTTATCTCCTTTTTAGCCTTTGCAGTTTTATCTGTAATCTGTGTTTCTGTGAAATTTCTGAAACATTGGCTATTACTTCTTTCACTTAAAGAGAAAGAAAGGAATTCTTTTCAGTTGAGGCTGGGTTTGACCACTGATTCATAGCGAGCTTACACATACTGACTGCCTCCTGTAGTCTTTCTATTTCTATACAGCATCTCTATTTTTTACTGCACTGTAAGAGTCCTAGTAAAGCGAAACCAACTTGTTAAATTTTAGATTATGCTTCCAAGTATAAATAATTTATAAACAGACTAATAAATGAGTAACAGATGTTATAAGCATATTACTGGCACAAGCAGTACATGTTATTGTGGTTTATGTTGTGGGTTGTAAGTGCACCAGTAGAAGAGACTACATAGGTCTCTAGCAACCTATTGACTTCTTGTAGATTATAACAATTTATAGCTAATAATAAACCAACTATTAAATAACTTAATTTCAATAATTTAAAAGTATGAACAAAAATCACTTAGCCATTTGCAGAGGGTTGTCTTTGAAAAGAAAGCAGAAAGCAAACTATTATATTTATGAATTTCCTGCCATGTTTTGATTTTGAGCCACCAGTTCTGGAGGCTGAAATTAGATAACATAATCACACAATGGATATAGTGAGGGTAAAGTCAACATATTTTTGGAATGCTTTATCAATGGCCTGGAGATGCATATTTAAAATGAGAAATTAGTTTTGCTTACCTGTTCTTTTCATTCTTGTAGCCTAAACTGAGACTACAAAATTAGCTGACAAAGAACAAATTTGGAGAGAAAATATGAACAAGATAAACTCCTCCTCTATCCTCAGCAGAGCTCATAAACTCAGACTTAATGTTCCTTTGAGTACCATTAACCCATTCAAATTTCAGCCTGGAATGAAGCTGTCTCTAGCAATTCCCATCAGAACAGTTTCTGGACTGTTTATTCATTTAGGGAATCACCCTTTGATCTTTTAAATCCATAGTAGGGTTCAGGTACTGTGTGGCCGATTTTACTAACCTTGGAATAATTCAATGCTATGTCCACAATACTTTTTGGGCCCTTACCTACAGGCAGAGCTCATTGACAGTTTTTCTTCGCATTAACCTTCAAGTTTAAGTATTTCCCCAAAGCCCAAGTATTATCAGGCCCAACACCTTTCTATTCAATCTTCCTACTCACCCTGGGGAAAGGTATACAGTTAAAATCTGGTTGAATCATAAGACTGACAGCATTAAATCATTTCTCCATCATTTTTTATGAGAGATCTTAAGTACATATTAAACTACAGTCAGATGTTTAAGGTCCACTGATGACGGTGTTGTAATGAATAAATACTAAAATATCAGCTTAATTGGTTTCCACAAGTAGGGTGCTCTGTTTCAGGAGACTGTTGGTATTTCCATGCAGGGTTTAACATATCCTAACATTAGCAGAAAACACTGCCTTCCATGTCATGATAAGCTATGAAGAATGGATCTGCACATCAGTGTATAAGTATAGCTATACGCACTTCAGCAGGCACAAACAAGGTAGATCTGCCCACAAAAAGATCTGGAAGCTGTAGGTGATCATCTGTAGATACCAGGTAACTGGGCCAAAAGATGCATGGCCTTGCTAGTGTGGTGCAAAGTGAAGCTAACAATCTGTCTCTCAACAAAAGATATTTACTGGTATTAAGAAGAATTTTACAGGTTTATACGTAGCGTATTTGGAATACCTTATGAAGTTTAATTCCTCTTCCCAAGCATGGACCAGACAACACAAAGGAAACTTTTGTTATATCTCCAATATTACCAACAGTCAACTGTTAGAAAAATAAAGAAAAAAAAATTAACTATATGTTGTATGTAACAATTTGGATGACATATTTTAAGCCCAGTTAAAAAGATAAATAAAATAGGTAAAAGTACTAGTCAAGGACATTAACGTTAGGGTGAGGAAGTCCCACTAAGGTTGCAAGTTAATTTGGACTCACATTTGTATCATAATTTGTGTTTATTTTTAACTGGGAGAATTTGCTGCAGAGTCTAGGCCAACACGAAAAGCAAGGAAATGCATGACTGATTCTTTATTTCCAAGTCGAATTCATATTACTATTCTTTTCTCTTCACTTTCCTGTTTATCTCCTCTCCATCACATCTTTATTCTCAAACTTGAGCTGAAATTTTAAACTCAAGATGATTTTTAGCCCTGGCTATTGGTTCTGTTCTCAGTTATTCTAGCGCTCAAAAGAAAGGATGGTTGGTTTCTGTAAGTCATATCATACACAGCCGCTTGTAGCTTTCATCTTGCAGCAGTAAAGCAAGTGATGTTTATATCGCCTCTTTGCAAAAGATGGGTAATGATTTTTTTTCCATGTTTAAGAATAAAAACCTTTTGAAAGGGGTGACCCAGGTCCACACACCTGTCCAGAAGCTGCCATTAACTTCATGTGCATACTACAGAATTGATATTTGCCCAGACCCAAGCTCATAGTAGAGAGACACAGCTTCTAAGTAGTGAAAACAGATTAGTTGAGGTTTGAGAAGTAGAATGTAAAGGAAGTATTGAATAGCTTCATTATTTATTGCCTTACTGTTAAGGCCTACTAGTCTTAATTCAAAGTTAATGAGGCTTTTCATGTCAAAGTTGGCATTTGTTCAAGAGAGCTTTCATAAGTGATATGTATTAGCCCACATGTGAGGAGTTCTCCTAGTGCTGTTTATTTAAGACATGCAGGTATAAACATTAACTCTGACAAACAAAAAATCATTCCACATAACTTCACATATGTTGGCCACAACTCTTACTTTACTGAAACTATTTGGTAAGATTTGTGTGAAATAAAAAAAGAAACCAACCAAAAATGGATTATCATTCAGATTCTGAACTTTCTGTGCAGGGGATTTCCCTTTTCTTCCAAATACAACAACTTGAATATCAGGAACATCTTCTGGTACTTGTGTACAGTGCACCCATGTTTGCCATCGTCCTCTGCTTTTAGTATCAAAATTTTTTGGAAGAAGAGATGTCACAGATGTTTCTGCAATGAAAACAAACATACATTCAGAGCCCGTAACTAAGTTATAAGGCAGTATAAGCTAAAAGATACAAGTTTACATTGCCTGGTAGTGCTGGATCTAGCACAGGCAAGTCAGGCAACAAAGCCACAAACCCCTCGTTACTCATTTTAGCCCTGTGGAGGTGTAGAAAACCAGGCCAGCTGCTTCATTAATCCATACCACACTTGTGCAGGGGCCATGCCTATCTCCTCTGTACTGTTCCAAGGACAGGATATGTGCTGCCAGAGGAGACTCGTTCAATACTGCCATTTGCATCTTCTCCATCCCAGGCATAATTTCTTCCTCCTTGTTTACAGAAGGCGTGATTCACCTTGGTCCAGGCCCCTGCCCCTCACCTTTGGGGTACCAATGCTCAGGTCTGCCTACATTGTGAAGTGGCCTTGTACTGGCTCTGTTCTGCACTGCCATGCAGTAGCAATTCACACAAATGAAGGATATTTCTGCTGGTATTACCTTTGAGCGGAATTGCCACTTCTACAAAATCTTTCTCGGAGCATTTATTGATCCAGTCATTGTGAACAAAAATATGTGCAGAAAAAGGGTAGAGGACTTCTTTTATAACAATTTTTTCCAAGAACCACTCATCTGATTGGAAATAAACAGAACATTATTAATTTATAACTTTTAATCAACAAAATGTTCTGTGTATGCTGTCACAAATTTCTATCTTTAGAAAATCAATAAAATGTTTTCTTTTGCCAGACTTCTTAAGGAAATAAGACTTCTGAAAATATATTGGCTATGTGTATACGTGTGTCTGTCTGTTCCCCTACACTCCAAAATATTCAACAAACTGAAGAAGTCTTAAATTTTTTACAGATCTTGTGAAATTAAACATAAGGATAGATTTGATTTAATGATCTATTAATGTCCCAAAGGAGGGAAAGGCTTCTGTATGAGATTTTTAGACATGAGAAGTCCCTAAAGGAAATGATATTATCAGAGTCCTAAAGGAAAAAGGGTCAGGATTTCTACCATATTAGCCATCAGAAGATCCACTCAACACACAACTTACTTTCTGGTGAGGATCTATGCTATCTAATAAGGCATAAACTTCAGCTGCAGGTTTTCTCTTAATTGAGACCATTGTGTTGATTGTCTGGAAACAAATCATTTGAAGACTCAGACCACTGAGTCTTGGTAAACTTGGTTATACTCCAACTCCTGGTGAAGTCAATGAAAGTTTGATCATTCATTTTAATGTTACCATCTACGAACTATGTGGGAAATAGTCTCCAAATCAGTTTTTCTGAGTCAGAGTTTAACCTACAGGGTCACCTTATAGTCTTGTTTTTTTGATAAAGATAAAAGAACAAGAGACTCAGCTTATCATGCTCTGGAACAATCTTATCTCCATTATCAACATTATCTGCAAAAGTAGGATATCTGTAGAACCTCTGTACTGTTGCCTCTAAAAAACAATGGGCCAAAATTGTAACCAAAGTATTGAAGAAAATATCAATTCATGATGCTTCCTGATGTTGCTATTTAAAGTAAGCAACTTTAACTCCAACAGCTGCTGTGGAGTCAGAAGAAGGACAAGAAAAAATGCTGCAGGAAGTGCAGCCTTTTTATCTGCCACTCAACCTCACATACGCAGAATCCCTTAAAAAAGAATATATTTCTTATGGGTTAGAAGAAAAAAAGCTATGAGGCCAGAACAGCCTTTCTTCCATGTTCCACTTCTCAATCTGATGAATTGATTTTCTGTTCTTATCTTTACCTAGAAGCATTTAGTCCTGAAAAAGAAATTCTCTTTTAAAATGAAAATGTCCATCAGCTAAAAATGGAAAGGGAGAAAAAATGTCAAAAATTGCCAAGGCGTGATGTCATATTGCTTCCTGAAAAACAAAAGCTTTGTTGACTGTACTTATAAATACATAGTATCTTTTATGGAGAAAAGTGTCACATATAATTTTACCATTTTACATTGTCATGACATTTCCTAGGAATCCTTTGCACATTTTAGTAAAACCAAGCTGGATACATGATGTGTGTAGTCCAACAGCAGTAATGAACAGCAGAAAACAGAGAGCAATTTCAGATTTTCTAGAACTTTTAAAAAATTACTTGTGATTTTTAATCTTATATTTAAGACATTTCTGAAGTTCTATGATCTCCTACGTCTGATAATCTACGCTATTATTACCATACACTAACTGAAAAAATTGCTGACCTTTTTTTAGACTCTTAAATCCAACAAGAACTTGGTTCAACTTGCCAAGGTATACTGCTTTGATTTTGAAAACATCCACCTGCAATATGAAAATAATCAAACAGATATTTTAGTTAAACTTAATATGTATCTACTTTTGAATATTTATCCGTTTAGCCTTGTGTGTCTGGTCATCGTTTTGTATCTCACTGGAAGCAAATTTATCTCGTTTATGCCATTCCATTGTCTTTGAGTTCATAATTAAACATTACATGCTATTACTGATATTTTCTGATCCAGTTAATATTATGAATTATGAATTTAAAAACGCTGATGTATTTAATAGGAAGTAATTTTGGAAACATCAGATACACACAGTAGCAATAAAGTGCTCATTTCTCCTACCTTCAGGGACTGAAATAAGCAAATCAGATCAATTACTACTTGGACTGAAAGTTACTTTGATCCAGAACCTAACCTAAGGAAACTGATAAACAATAGGTGTCTAATAATTCTGAATGCCTAAAGCAATTTCATTTTCACTAAAATTCACAGTTAATTTAGTAGGAATTAGGCAGGTGAATGGGAATTAAGTGAACAGCATCTGGGAATGTTTCAACCACTGTGCTATTGGGATAAGGATTTTGCATTGGAGCCATCTCTATAAAAGGTCAAATTTTCCACATACAACAGGCTTGCATGATAAATAGACCTCATGGAATCTTCCTTTTCTTCCCTCTGTAAATCTTCGTAGTATATTCACCTTCTTGCATATACACATTTGTCATCTTCTTTGTGCAGTCATCTTCCTTCATAATCAATTGGAAAGCTCACATAAGTATGCACACTGACACTGGGGACGAACATTGCTTAAAATGTGTACTTGTTGGCTTTTTTGAACCGTGCCTGAAGAAACGAGGTTTGGAAACATGCTGTTCATGAATGGATTCATCTACTCTTTTGGGAAACCAGCTGCAGAATAAAATCTCCACAAGTAAGACTCTATTTCTTGTGACTTCATGAGTTATCTTGTTATAGACAGAAGCAGTTGTCTTGGAAAGGTTGGGTTGAAAACACAATTTGAACACAAAAGTTGTGGACCAATTTGGGGGTTTGAAAACAAACAATAAAAATGTTGTATTGTTCCCATAGTTGCTGCCAAGTACAACGACATACAAAAATTCATGCTACCTGTGAGAACCATATTGATCACAAGAGTCATCCAGAAAAAAAGAACGAAGACTGAGAACAGAGAATTAGGCATCTGAGGGCACGTTGGAGTAAAGAAAAATGTGAGAGAAAGAATACCCAAACAGTTGTTACTTGAAATCTTTTCTATAAGAAGAAGATTAGGGTACTATAGCCCAGGATATAGAAAAGCCCTTTAGAGTTTCAGACAAAGGATTTAACATCCTGAACAGGCCCCATTCAAAAACTGACACAGAATCTGGATTATACAGAAAAAATCCTTGTGAATTTGCAGATGAGTTATATTTCCGCTGGAGTGAGTAGTCACAGAAGTCAATTGTATTGTTCACATATTTTTCTCTACAAGCTTTATTCTTAAAGAAAATTTAACATACATTCTTACAAAATAAAGAATAAAAAAAGAAAAGCTCAGGACAGTCCAGTTTTTTGAAAAAAACAGGAATCAGTCCCTCTTTCAGTCTGTACTGATACTTTATCCATTGTAGCAAGCAGTCTTGCTGTTCAGATTTCTCTAAGGTATTAGCTTTAAGATATATTATATATAAATATTATCTATATCACCAAAAAGATTAATCTGTAAAATTTCCTGCATTACTCCTTAAATCCAGATGAGCCCTACTATCTTGTCATTATTATTTCAGATTTATTTTGTGAAGTCTGAACTAGCAGTTTGAGCAGTTCTTGATGAACATGACATTGGGCATGCATATTCTCTTCCACAATGGAGAAAGAAAATATAGGAATACAGAGGACATAATAACTACCAGTTTGGTTTTTATACAAAACCGACTGTGTTTTCTAGAATGTTTAGAATTGAAAAGAAAAGCAGATAAAATAAACAGAAGCACGTTTGAAGAATAAATGAAGCATATTGCAAGCAGATTTCTCTAGATTTCCACATCACAGAACAAACTAATCTGGTTTGGCTGACAACAATGAAATACTCCCTCCTGCCCTCCCCAAAAGAGGATTCCTATGTACTTTGCAATGATTTTATGATTCCCTTAAAACAAAAATAAAAAAATCTTCCAAACCTAAACTCAGAGCAAGCAGTAGAGTCTAGTAAAGTATCAGCTAGACATCTTTTGATCTGAAATAGATATTTCCTTTTGATCTGAAATTTGTTTCAGTTACTTTGTTCTTATGCCAATAACTACTCCAAGAATTACTCTTCTAGGAAAAGCCCATTAAGCCTCAAAAAGCAAGAATATGTTTACCATGTTTAAAAGCAGTAAGTGGGTGGAAGAATTGGAAACACAAAAAAATAAAACTCTGCGTGAAACACTGACATTAGTGATCAGGAAAGTTAACAAGAAAAGGTCATGGTCTGAAGTAGGTACAAAGGCAAAATATGCTACAGAAATGTTATCAGTTCTATCAATCAGCCATATATTAACAAAGCACTAATACCTTCCTGGCCTTAAAAGTCTGGAATATTAAAATAGAACTTTCAGAGTATATTTAGTCCAACTCAAAATCACTTAACAGTTTCACTGTTGTGCGATGCTGATGATGCTTAAAAGCAATGTTACCTATGGAAACAATCACCTCTCAGTTACAAGAGAAAATTATGTTTATAATACATTAGTATTTTTGATACTCTGTCCATGAAATGTTTTATGTAAACGTAAGTTTTAATAAAAAGACACTGACAGATTCAGTTACATTTTTCCTCATTTTTTTACCTGCCCTCTAGCAAAAGTGATCAGGCTGTTTCTCGAGTTAAGCCATCGTTTCCCCGAGTGACTCTTTTCTCCTTGTATACAAAGATAGGCCTCACCAGTGGCATCTGCTTTCTTCAAGTCTCCCGTGTGCAAATGGATTGCATATTCCACAACTTCAGAAAAAAATACACATACAAAACCAAGAAGTCAGCAGGAGAAAATGCTCCTTGTCTTCTTTCCCAGCATCTGCGTTATGTACCAACCCCTGGTAGAAACAATTGCAAATTTCATCTGAATCCCATACTGTGCCACAGGACAGGAAGCACAGGTCTCTTCAGTCTTGGCAACATAGATAGCCAAAACACATTCCTGCTGCATAACTTCCTGTTTGGTGATCCACAGAATATAGATTTGTTCTGCTCTGACACTACTCCCAGAAAATCAGCACTACTGGCCGCTGCTTGGGGCACAGGATCTCCTATGCACTGCCCCCTTCCCCTAAGGCAAGGAATCCCTTTCTGAGAAATACTTCATGTTTACATGCTCTTTGGAAAGTCTAAGTTCTGCTTTCTAAGACTATTAACTCATATTTCTTTGTTCCTTCCTTCTGCATGTATCATTTTCTCCTTGAAATGAAATGGGAGCTTACACTTATAAAGTGGCTTAGAAGAAAGCCGGGACCTAATTGTCCTAAGCTTTAAACTCATGTGATTATCATCTCCCAACAAATGAACACATCAGGACTATCAAGCTTTCTCACTAGTCACACCATAATACTATTACAATGTTCTTGAAGTTAAAACATGGTAATAGGAAACAGAAATAATGAATTAAAAATGCTTTCATCAGCTTTAATACATAAATAGAAAAACCTCTTCATATTTTGTATTAGTCTCCAAAGAACCTCCCATGTACTGTATAATAACCCACAAATACAGATCAGCTAAGTGAAATTTGAGCTTAAGTGAAAGCATTCCTGATTTTCTCAGCTGTGGTCATAGTATAGCCATTAGAAGAAACTCCTGTGGCCACTATGTGGAGCTTCTGCTTCCTTGTCTGTTTATGACACAATATGCAGGGGAGTGGTGCAGATGAGACCAGGTTGAGTTAATTCCAAAGAAACTTCATGGAAAACTCTTATGTTCACTTTTTAAATGACCTATTTTAGTTCCTGAGTTTATCATGGAAACAAGGAACAAGGAAACACTTAAACAGAAGCAGGTCACAATCTCAATATTCATGGTTATTTGCATCATTTTAACAAGGAGCCTAGGAAAAGAAAGAGTTTTTTGAGGGTTGGGTTTTTTCCCCCTTAGTGTTGTAAGTCTGCTCTTACTCAGATTACAATAATAAATCTGTGCTCGTTTGTGTAATGCTGGTGCTGTCACTTCAGGAGTCTAACTTTGGTGGCTGTATTAGGAATATGATCCTTACGTAGTCAGCAGAGAAAGGCAAATGCTGTAGAAAACACCTATGATGGGTTCCCGTATATTCTAGAGATAGACACTAAAAGTTAGGAGTCTAAACTTAGATGGTCTGAATGTTCCTCTGCTTCCAACCACAAGCATCATTACGTTGGCCTAAGAAAAAAAGCTATTACCTTGCAGCAACACAGTTTTGTAAATCACACCTTTCTAATATTTTTCAGAAGGAGGAACCCATTTTTATCCACTGTAAAATGCAAAGTCACATTCAGGATGTGAGTAATAAGCAATGCACATGTACCAAGAATGTATTCAGGAATGCATATATTATCTCTTCAACTTTTTTTGTCACAAGTTTCAAGACTGTTTTTCTGGGTTTTTTGGGGTTTGGGGTTTTTTTCTTAAGGACTGAGCAGCCTTAAAATCCAACATTTTACAAGTACTAAGCTATCTTTGACTACTCCAAACTATTCAGCCCCAACTCTCTCAGCCTTCATCACGGGTGCAGTAAAGCAGATATAGACATCTAGACTATATGACAGTTACGTGCTGGAGAAAAAATTCCAGCCTCGCTCTGCCACTTGTTCCTACTTGGGACCTGGCTGGCTGTACAATGCCTGCTTTCCCAGGAAATGCATGTGAGCAAAGAAAGGAAATGGTGCTTTAGACAGACATGATCAAGGAGCAAATAAGTACTTTCAGTCTCACAATTAACAATACAAGCCAGAGAGCACTGAAATACACATTATTGAAGTCTGAAATACATACTTCAGTCTAAAATACATCACAGGATACACAAATATCTGAGTATAGATATTGGAAACATCTGATATTTTCAGTACAGTTTGCTTCTTGAATCGAATTTATTCCACGATAGAAATGGCCCGATTTAGCCAAACTGTACACCATTTTAAAAGATATAATTATGAGAAATTTCTGTTTGAAGGTTTGAGAATGATTGTTAGAACCCAGAAGCTAAGGCTTTCATTTATTTTCATGCGTAGGTGATAGGAAAACAGGGAGGAAAAAAAAAGTGTTCTGAGGATATTTATTTTTAAGCTTTTCTTACAGCTCTTTTCACGAGTTTGTGCTATTCATATTAAGTGTTATAACAAAAGGCCTGAATTCAAATATTGTGACATCTTATATAGCTATTTCTTTATATGTCTAAAATAAAAAGGTCACATGACTGGAACAAGGGTCCTAAAGGGTGGGTTTGCATATGGATTTAAAAATTAATATCTAAAAGGATTCATTAAATAAAGGCTGTATCCGTCCGCTAATAAAGGTGTACTCATTGCAATAAACTTCTGAAATCTCTTTGTTTCTCTTAATCTTTTACTACATGGGGATGACATCTGAGAAAACCTGTTTTCTGAACAGTGACTCTGTTTCACTGCAGCACTATTTACTTCAGGGACTTCCCCTGGGATAGTTTTTTTAAAATTATTTAAACCAAGAGCTGGGAAAGTACTTGTAATTGACACCATGACTCATGTTTGATGATAAGAAGTAAACCAAGAGTTTTCCTAGAGTGGGGCCCTAATGTATCTCATCCCTTTCTTCAAGGCAGTTAAATATGCACTGCCAGGTGAAAGACAACATAGCTGCGTTAAAGTCAGTGTATCGACGCAGACTTGCTCTTGCTGGAGACCCAGATAGTTGAAAGTAGACGAACTGTCCAGATGGCTCTTTGGCATTTAGGCAATGGCATTTTTACTTTTAGAGGAGTTAGGATATGAAAGTAAGACTCTGTGTCATTCATCTAGAGTGTTGCCTTGCCTGTATACCTTGGTTGTATAAGCAGATTCATTGAAGTCAAAAGGCTACTTGTGTGAACGAGATCAGAAGAGTTTGCTCCACAAATCTGATCACTCATGTAAGATAGATTAGAAATCACAGTGCTCACAATTATCTTTACTGCTTTTGCCCAGTATCATTAATACACTTAAACATGAGCTTAGCTTTAATCACACAAGTAGTATTCAAATGAGATACACACTGAAAATTAGAAACATATCTAATCTTTTTGCGGAGTCAGTATTTTCAGCTGAATCTGCTGAATCTATTGATGCATAACTTAAAGCTTAGTGTCATCATGGCAAATATTTCCCATTCATTTTCAAAGGTTTTGGATCAGAGGAAGGACTTCCACTATACAAATGAAACAAAAATATACAAAGCAACCCCTACGAAGGAAGGCATAACACAGAAGACATGTTGGAAAATGGGGTAAAACTTCTTAGGGTGAGTTTGGGATCATTCTCACTATCAGATGAACAACATACCCCAACAACAACAATCTACTAAAATAAGATGTTCTATTAAAACTTGCCATTCTTTTTCTGTTCCCAATCTTATTTATAAAAACTCTGTTTCAGATGGAAGCCAACATAGTGTGAAACTGAAAGTGATCACCTAGTGCTTGTTAAAAAGGGGGAAAAAGCCATGAATTAAAGACAGGACAGAAGGTGTTGCTTTGAATTTGCCTTTTTTTGTTGTTGTTGAATTTACTACGTACTATTTATTCAGATATTTATTGTGATAATTCAGCAACATTTGCCCACAGACCTCTCAACAACCTGTCAAGGGTGAACAGTTTAAATGATACTATCACACCCTTTCTGAATCTCAGAGGTAGAGTTAAACCTTTTACACCATTGTGATTTTAGCTTTGTAATGAGATCAGTCAATGCAGGTAATTTTTCCAGTGTCGGGGGGAACAGTAAGAAAAGCTGTTGGGGAGGAAATGAGCTATCAAAAATGAACTCCTCTTCTCCTGTTAGAGCTCTCAAGACTGCTTACTGCTCTCTTCGTAGATTGTCAGGTTCTCTTCTGTAGATTGTCAGGTTCTCCATAGAAAGATAAGATGGTAAGGATGAGAATGCAAATGGAACAGGGTAGGGTAGCTGTTGGATATAGCTGACAGGGACTGTTTCTTCATAGGCTTCTGCAAAAATTCTGCTCTACAAAATAGTAAAATAAATAGAAAAAGGCAATATGGGGAATTCCAGAGGTTATTGTCATAACTCCCCATTGAATCAGTTTTGGTTTTAAATGAATGTTAGGCAACTAAGAATCAAAGATGAGTAGAGTAGGCAGGGATATTTTTTAAATGTTCATTTGGTTCTATGGCAAAACAATGTGGAAAACTAAATTTGATGCCTAACACTGCTAATTTATCCCATAAGAAGTCTCAAAAACTTAAAATTACCATTTCTGTGAAATTAAAGGTTCGGGACAAGATCCTCAGTTGATATAGCCACACAGCTGATATGCTCAAGGCAGTGGAGCAAATCAGTTTATGCCAACTGAATATCTGATCTTATTAATCTAGTCAAAAGTACAGGGTTCATCTAACTTACACAACAGAGTGTTGTATAAAGATGCCTGAGCGAGCAGGAATTTGAATCAGTAAATGTAAGCAGAACAGCATGATTCACTTCACCAGCTCTACGCCTAAGCTAGTCTGGTTCATGCTAATTTGGTGCCATGCTTGAGCTAATAAGCCTAGCAAGTCAAAAGACTACATTAGCCGAAGCATCTCTAAACTACTTTCATTTGGAAAATAACATGAAGCTTACCATTAACTTTAATGAAAAAGGAATTATTTGATAAATATGAGCTTCTGGGCTGAATTCTATCTGGAAGAGTTAAGTATCATGTAGTGAGCGACTAGTTCTCCATGCTCAAACACATCATGGTACACTACCACATAATAATGATCTATTGTGATTAACAAAGCAGTGGAAATGTTATACTTTATCTATTAACTATAAAAACATGAAGTTGGGTGATTTTAATACAGATCAATATGTTTGTTACTACAGATGTTTCTTACTACAAACATTAAGCACTTAAACCCTTCAAGTTCTTGTGTTAACAGACTTGACTGGGGAAGGGAGGAGGAGCAGGATGTCAGTAGACTCCAGACAAAAACACTTTATTTGTGTCACAGGAGCCTGATGTCAGCCACAAGAGGCCAGTTCACAACTGGTGTTAAAAATCCTTTAGTAAAGAGAAGGTAACATGATCTTCAACAGTTACTTTGACAGCTACATATTTCAAAGTTCTTACTGTAGCTTCAAAAAGTTCCTATTGCTATATAAATCCTGGTGCATGCCTTCAACTGCAGTCACAAATAATGACATTCTAAAAATCATCAAGAAATTATCTAGAAGTTATCAAGAAATATGGAGTCTAACAGCAAGAATTTCTAAAATGTTAATTGTTATTGTGTGCAGTGACTTTGTTCCAGTGTGTTCATATTGTCCTGGTTTCAGCTGGGATAGAGTTAATTTTCTTCCTAGTAGCTGGTGTAGCACTGTGTTTTGGATTTAGGAGGAGAAGAATGCTGATACTACACTGATGTTTTAGTTGTTGCTGAGTACTGCTTATGCTAGTCAAGGACTTTTCAGCTTCCCATGCTCTGCCAGGCGCACAAGAAACTGAGAGGGGACACAGCCGGAATAGTTGATCCAAACTGACCAAAGGGCTATTCCATAGCATGTGACGTCATGCTCAGTATATAAACTGGGGAGGGTTGGCCGGGGAGCAGCGATCGCTGCTCAGGAACTGTCTGGGTATCGGTCATCTGGTGGTGAGCAATTGCATTGTGCATCACTTGCTTTGTATATTATTATTGTTATTATCATTATTATATTGTTATTATTATCATTACTATTTTACTTTATTTCAATTATTAAACTGTTCTTATCTCAACCCAGGAGTGTTTCTCACTCTTACTCCTCCAATTCTCTCCCCCATCCCATCGGGGTAGTGGGAGTGAGTGAGCGGCTGCGTGGTGCTGTGTTGCTGGCTGGGGCTAAACCACTACAAATATACACATCAATGTCGTGCACAGAATTATCACAGAATTCATTAAAAAAAAATTAATCAATTTTTTAATCTGAAGTCCACAAAGGTGCTTGATAAATAATTTGGCCCATGATACAATAGACTAAAATAATGTGCACACAAACACTAGGATGGACAGACTAGAAAAGAAGTCAAAAAAATTATTTGCTTCTGTGACGCTAGCTAATACCCAGAATACAAATTCAGCTCTGAGATAATCCCACAGAACCTAATGAAATTATGCAATAGAATCATTTGACCTTGGTTTATTTAATAAAATTGTATCTGAGGAGTTACCTATAGTCTGGGCTTTGGCACTCACTTTTAAGAGGAATATTTCTACAGATAGAAGAAAAAGCAGTTTCAGAGATTCAAGTTTAAATTTTGCTTATTTTTTGTTCATTTGTTTTTAATTATTAAGAATATATTCAATGATAGCTAATAGACATGATGGGATTTACTGGGCATGAAAAATCATTCTCATGCCCCACCAGATGAGGTGGGATATGCAGGAGACATGGACAGAAGATACATTAGAGCTCAGAAAGAGGTGGAAAAACATGGAACAAATGTGTTTGTAGATGCAGGAAAGAATTGGGAGTGGCCACTGCTTTTAACAAAGGAATTGCAATTTTCCTTAAGATTCCAAATTAGCATAGATATGTATTTTTGCCTTGCTAAATCTCATGGAATCACTTAGTTTAGAACAGAAGTAATTATATTAGTATGGCCTTCATTACAACCAGACAATTGACGTTACTGATAAAGGTTACTGTTTATTTGGATGCTTAGTTTTTAGCATTTACTTTGCTTCCTGTAAAGTTATATACCTCTTGTTTGCTTTGTCTGGGGATAGCAATGATTGATATAATTCAGAATTGTTCTTTTGTCTTTATCTGAATTTATTCTATCAAGATATTCATTAAAGACATCTCCATAAATTGATGTCTCTTTCAGGGAAATAATGAGAACAAACACATAAAAATGAACTTTTTTTTCCTCTAGTAATCAAACTGGAATACAAGAAAGAAGCTAACAGAAATTTTAGACTGAATTAGTATTTGGGCTACAGTGAATAAAACTGATATTAAGACTTCCAGTTGTAGATCACTGGAGTCCACAAAACAGTCTGTAAGAAACTTCCTAGGTTAGTGGATACTACCCATCTATGGAATGATTTTTGAGGGAGAGTATATACACGTCTTTTTCCTAGAAATTTTCCAAGAAAAACACCTTAACTTTCTAATATACCTCAAAACTGAATTGCTTTACAAATCAAGATAATGTTGTCTGACAGTATCTCCATTTGATTCTTAGCATAATAGAGGCTTTGAGGGGTGCATTCTAGAAATATCTTTTGTTTGAAATTCTGGAGTTTTGATATGTAGTTAAGCATTTAGCAATTTTGAATTCTGAAAATAATTATCACTAGTTATAATTTTCCCCAATCATTCATAAATAAATTGGGGAAATAGAGCTTTTTAGCAAGCTCTAGATTCACTATATTCAACATTGTACATCCTGCATAATATTACATCCAACATCCAATGTTATTTTGAATCTGACAGATCAAAACTCTAAAATAATAAATTTTTTTCAGTAAATGAATACAAGACTACTAATTGTTTAGAATTATGCAAAGACACACAAAACCAGAGGTTTAAAAGGTCTTCAGTGTTTTATTTGTTCAAGTTTCAACTTAAAAAAATGGGATGAAATATTTAGGAGAATCTCCTTAGAGAACAGTGTGCAAAAGTTCACATGGAATATTTTATTCCTTTTTCTGGGCTGCTTCCATCTTTTTCTATTAGTTTCTGTTTAAGTAGACCACTCTTTGTACTATAGCCTCTAGCAATAAACCTCTTAACTGTCACTAAAAGCTTCAATATATGATCTTTGCTATCCCCATCAATCCTTTTTATTCTAATGAGCTGAATAGATGGGAAGCCTGTTCTTAAATAGCTAGTGATCAACTTATCTGTATGCAATTGGTTGCTCCTCTCCATATTCCTGGGGGGTTGCAAGAAATCACTTTATTATGTCTCTGGCGTTATGCAATTCACACGTGTTACTAACAGCAGAGAAACATGTAACAGTATACATTTTTGTGGAATATTACTTGCTGTGCTATAAACTTCTCACCAACATCAGTAAAACACTAGTGCTATTGAAATTCTTGGATACCTCTTTGCTGGCTAATTGTAATACATTTTTAAAATTCCATTTCTGTTTTGTAGGGGGTCTTTGCAATTCTTTCATTCTCAAAATTTTTACTATGTTTCTAGGTCATATACATTTCTTTCTGAATAGGAAGATTCAGGTAATATCACACAGTAGATGATATTTTGTACACATCTTCAGCTGACATAGCGTTAATTTGAAGAGATAATAAATAATCAAGAGCTAAAATTGGAACATCATCTAACATGAAAGAAGCCAAATCCTATGTTTCGTGTCAGCAGTTACAGCATCTGTCATAATCCTGACACCAATGATTTCTGTTTTCTCAGCTTTCTTTTGTGATAAATGCATGTGCAAAACCATCATATTCCTTAATATCAAATACTCATGGAAATCCTCACACAGTATTCTAGGCCCCAGAAAGATATACTGATATTCCAGTGACAGATCCTGACCCCAGTATCAAAAAAGGACTTAGCTTACCAGGCAAAGGCTCCTGATCTGCATAGAGAGCTGGCAGTTCCACACATTTGTCTTCATTAGGGTTGAACCAGCAGTCAAAAGCTAAATACATCTCTTCCTTTGTGCCTGTGTGCTTCATATGCAGTAAATCTAAGTGCCATGGCTTTTTTAGCTCGCTATGTGGGCCAGTTACCTGAACCTTGTATATTGAGCCAATATTTGCCAGTTCATCCTATGTGAGGAAAAAGAGAAGATGAATGAATCCCATTGTGCCAGATCAAATGCAGTTGACAGCTGTAGGCAACAATTGAACAAACTTCAGTAGTTAAAGAATTGGGGCAGATTTATAACTGCTACTATTTTTCCCCTTTCTAATCAATACAAAATTGATTTACTAACGTGAATGAGGAGGTAGAATGCTTGAGGTTTGATGTCAGGGAACCAGTGATGGCAGTCACTGCTGAAATTTGTACACAGAACAAGGCACAGTGTTCATATATATTACACTGATTCAGTAGACTATTTGCAGGCACAGAAGCTTTAGTCAATTCTAAAAATTTGCAGCACTATTAGAAATATTTCTTACAATGTGTAACATTAAAATGGTGCAATTAACTATACATTTGAGGAGAATTAATCTCATTTTGAGGAAACATCCAACAGATCCTCCATCTTTACGCTACATCATATTTTCATATAGAAGCTGTCCATTAAAATCTTCCTCTTCTTTCATTCATGCTTGAGAAAAAAATCTAGTTCTGATAGGGGTAGTACAGCATCTCTATGACATACCTTTGCTTAAGTTAAAATAGAGGAGGCCTTAGATAACTATAATTATTGTTTTTAAATCAATAATTTTTCCGTGTAAGGGAAAAAGAAGGGAGAAAACAGAAGTTGTCTTTTCCTCTTCCTATCCTCTACTTCTCATATTCTTTCCCCTTCTTTTTCATTTCAAATACTGCCTAGCTAGTAGAAGTGCATGTGCCCTGACTTCAGCCTTTCCTCTGACAGGGGATTTCAGTTTCATATGATTTCTTTATATTTACCAGAGGTTCTTGGAAATAACTTAGGAAAACCTTCTGGGTACTCCTCATTTTGGATCATGTTTATGGCCTAGGGTGGTCTGCTTAGTTCCTCATTCAGTAAAGAAAAGAGGAACATCAAAAAACAGCTAATTATTTCTTTAGCTCAATCATGAAGTTCAATTTACCTGACTAATATGAAGAAGAAGCAGGAAACAGTTTCTTCATTTACAACTCCAAGGCTGCTTTCTGATGAACCCCAAAATGAAAAGTGACGTATTTTCATGCACTCTTTGGACTTTTTGCCACGGCTCTCTTCACCCTTTTTTGGTTTGTTTTTTTTTTTTCCCCTGATTTTCTCTTGCTACCTGCTTCTGCGGTCCCAGCAGTCAATCCTGAAGAAATATCTTACAAGATGTGGCTTCATGGACATATTTCTTTGATGCAAAGCTGGCTTGTGAAGCTCCTACTTCCCTGTCTGCCCACTTGCTCCCATTCCCTCAGTCCTGCCTTATATTTGTTTCTGCAGTTGCAGGATGAACCAATCAAAGTTAAAATGAAGGCTGAGGAATCAATCAAAGTTAAAATTTCCAGTTTTCTCACCATTTCCTCAAAACCCACAAAGGACAACAGAAGGATGGAACAAGCAGTACAAAAACAGGACAAGTAGTAATCACACTTCCCTTGAATATTGTCCTAGCTTCCAGTACTTTGTGGCTCAGGGATCTCCTGAGCCAGAGGAGGTGTCTGCAGTGTTTATCTTCAGGTCAGTACCAAATTCTACTGCACTGATCTTTCATGGAGAGCAAAACCAGAAAAGTGTAAGAGTAACACAGCGCTGGCACTGGGAAGGAATTATAGCTACAAGAGGGAAGTAAGAGCATTGGGAAAAGAAGCAGGCTACAATTCAAGGACAGTGGACCTCAGACACTTCTTAATATTTCAGTTAATGGGTAACAGGAGGAAGTGAAGACAAACTATAGAAGGGCAGAAGAACTGAATAAAGGAGAAGACTTGTGGGTAAAAGGGTGCTGACCAAGAGGAAAAAGAAAGTGATAATGACAGGCAGAAAAAGAGAGAAAACATGCAAGAAAAGGCAGTTAGCCTGGAGAAACATGGTGGCAGGGATGAATAAATTACATGAAAGAAAAATGAACTTTCTGTAAGTTTCATCTCATTTATGATTCTTCCTCCTCCATCATTGGCCCCAAAAGCTCTATATTATCCCATGGCATATTGTATGTTTATAAATTACTTAGTTTTGTGAGATCAATGAAACCTCTAAATCTGTACCTGCAGTGTGGTATATACTATGATATGCACCAAGGGACCAATTCACTCACTTAAGCATTCTCAGTATGAGACATAGAGAGAATCTGCTCATTCAAAAACCATTGTTCAAGCGACAGCATTACTGCCTACAAACAAAAATTATGATCTATGCCAAACTACACAGAGGACTTAAAAATCAATTTGGTAGTTTAGTTTAAAGAAACAATTTATCTCAGAATTTAGTGGGTTATTGGCTACATGATTCTTAGGCTTTTCTTTCAATAGAGAAAAGTTGTAGTACTTTGATCTGAGTTTCTTTTCCTGTAACTTGAAGTGGCAACTTTTTGTGACTCAGGTTGCCGTAGAAGATAAAAGAAAGGCATATTGGATCCTCTTCATTGCTCAGGTCAGATCCAGTGATGTCTATTATCCAGAGACCTGATGACTTCATGTTGATTTCAGGCAGTTTAGGACTACAAATCAATCTTCTACCTTTAAAAATGATCCAAGAGAAAGAGGAAAGATGACATCGTGAAAGAATGGCATAATATAACAGGATCATAGCCTTTATGGTACACAAAGAAAGCTCCATTTGCAGGTTATGTTGTATCTGTAGCAACAGTTCCCGAAGAATAACACATCAATACATTTATTATATTTTTTTGCCAAGAATTTAACAGCTTAATGTTATTTCTCTGTTTAAAATTTAGTTTCAGAGGTATTTTCTTCATGCCAAGGTATTTTCCTTGTCATGTTTACAAGTAATTACTGAGACAACACTCAGTAACCTTTTAGAGGTCTAATTAATTGTTCTTAAAAAAGCAATGTTACTAAAACCACTTTATCATTTAGAAGCACCAGCCATCTGTAGCAAGTAATGCAAAATGAATAATACCAATGAACTCCACTTGTAACTAGATCTTACCTAGCAATATAACATGTACTATAATAGTGCGAGACTGACAGGTAAACCTATAATAAACACACAAAAATATTTGCCAGATCCTCAGAAGATCAATATTGCTATTTCCCTTTCTTTTTCTTCATTAATTGCTGTTATCATTCATTTTCATCCTGTTTTGACCATTCAATAGGAAATAAAAAGTTTTATGTTTTTTGTGAAAAGTTGGCAGTTTTTTTATACATCCCCAAATGCTTTAAATCTTTCATTGCAGTGCGCTAAATTTAATTCGGAAGGTATTCCATACACAATACATGGACAAGATGAAATTTTATTAACTTTGACCTTACCAGATGTGGGTTTGCTATAATAGTAAGATCAAACTGAAAAGTCACATTTTCAATAAAAGAAAGATACTATGGGGATCTGAAAGAGCTGTAGCCAAATTTAAATAAATATATATAAACAGGCAGTCCAGTTTTGCAGAATAGCTTACCAACTGTCACAATCTCACAAATGGTCTCACATAACCCCAGATGAGTATCAAGCCAGTTCCACCATGGGAAGACCCATTCTTTGTCCGAGTCTTGTGATTCCTTGACTGTTACCATCTTGAGGTACATCCCAGCTCCATAGCCTTCTCCATCATGTCCTATGACCACTTTTTGCAAATGACTCAGAGAAACAGCTTCCACCAAAAATGAATCCACCTGGAAAAAAGGAAAATACTTAATAAAACAGAGTTTGGAACTGGATATGCTTGAACTTCAGGGAAAATGTAGTTCCGGATTCAGCTGAGAATTTAAATTTGTGTCTGTTTTTTTGTAATATTTAACATAATGTCTCCCCTGTGAATCTAAGAAAGCACACACTGATTATACCTAACATTGAATCCCACATTCATCATTAACTGTGCATTGTAACTTGATCTTTGGACATTATGGATCATTTCATATTACAATAAAATGCATATACCTCAACCTTCTGACAGTCAAACAGTTGTGACAAGATTTTGGTTCTAATCAAATTTCTATCTTTCAGTGTACTTGTAGTTTCTAAAATTTATTATATAAACCTAGATATATAGTAATAGTCCTAAAGAAAAAACAGAAATCTAAAAAGAGTGTATTCACTGCAAGATAGCTTCTAAATTCTTCTCCAATAGTCATAAAAGCCTGTCTTTTTGTCTTTCTTACAAAATGAAAATAATTGTGGAAACAGCAAATGGAGAAAAGAGGAAGCAATAGAAGGGAGGAAGTTAAGACGAAGGTGGAGAACCGTTTGAGCAAAAGACAGGAAATGGGAAGGGAAGCAGAATGGAGAAGGCAGAATAAGAAAAAAAAGTAAACACGGGTATCAGTGGATGAGAATAGGGACAACAAAAACAACAAGATAAGGAAAAATGTGAAATGCAAAGAAAGAAATTATGTGCCCCACTAAATTCTTGCTTGTTTTGTAAGAAAGCCAGGTGTTCTGTATATGGCCCAGCCTAGGGCCAGAGGGACCTGATGGTAGCTTATAAAGATCAACAAGGTTATGAACAACTGGAGTTTGAATAGCAACATCTTGGGTTATAATTAACACCGTCATCCCAATAAAACATTAATCCAGTAGCAGGAACTTACTAAACCAGATGTCAGGACAATTAAAAAAGAAGATATTAGTGAACTGATCTCTAAAATATGTAGTACTTGCCAAATTCCTATGTGTTGTCCCTGCTACTTTTTAAATAAAAATATCGGAGAAGTAGATTTTCTGCTACTAATATTAAAAGTACTTTCATAAGACAATTTTTTTTTTTTTTCTAACAACAGTCAGGACCCAACAGCCAGACTGTAAGCAGAAATCATTAACTTTTTTAATTAAGACATTTTATTTTTTTTTTTTTCTAACAACAGTCAGGACCCAACAGCCAGATTGTAAGCAGAAATCATTAACTTTTTAAATTAAGACATTTTGGGAAATAAATCTGTGCATGAAGGGAAATTAAAATAATTATTGTACAGTGTTATTTTCTGTATATAGGCTTAGCCTGGAGATATACACAGAAATGAAATTTAGAAATTCTCTTAGTTTGTTACTGATTCCACTTTTACCCTACCAAGTGTTGTGGCAATTGTCTAATGAAATAACTTCACAGAAATCTAAGACTCTCCTTGACAATGTATATCTCAGTAGTGAGCTTTTTCAAACTTCAGTGTTCAGTGAGTGAACCTGTCATAGGAAAGCCTAATACACAAGAGAAGAATTTTCTTGTTATTGGTCATCTAGAAACACTGCTATTGTGTGCATTCTTTTCTCTAAGTGGAATTCTTGTCTCTTGTCTAAATTTACTGACTAGACATTGAGCTAGTGTTTCACGTGGGATTGTGGTTACAGAAACATCACTGATTGCAAAAGTCTCACAGCAATTTCTGTAACTTATTTTGAATCACTAATTTTTAATTCTTTGCTACTTGTGCTGTCCTATATTTGGAACAGAAGAAGCAGCAGGATCACAGAGGTTCTCCCCAGTAATCTGCTTTCTATGCGCTCATGTTGAGCCTTTATTACCATGTGGGGATGTTCTTGTACAGGAAGGAAATAACACTGGCATTAGTCTACTGTGAATATCTGGAAGATAAATTCTGTTTCCGAATTCTTGCCCATCTGTAGCAAGAGGTATTCTGAGCAGGCATTAAGTGACACTTAACGCAACTAACCCCTGCACATGTAAGACAGCATTTTTTGTGCCATTACCTTATTCCTTTGAAATTTTCTTCCTTTTGCTAAAGATGTATGAAGTTTCCTCACACCTGTGTCCCCTCTTTTGCCATAGAGAGTGATATAAACATTTGCAAAAGTTTCTGCTCCCCAGCGGTCCCCAATATGTACTGAGACAACATACTTATAGACTGTACAAAGAGAAAAAAAAAAGTTTAAATAAACCTGATTAAGTACAAGGTGTACCTAAAAGAAAACAGCAACACAGAATATTTAGTAAGACTACTGCTTGTTTTCATTTCTGCAGCTACCAAAAAACTGCTACACAGTGATTGAAATAGTCAGGTTACTCTTTATGAATCTGATCTCTTCATGCTAAGCTCAGTGAAGACTTTCCATTAATTTCCTTAGAAATTCGAAGGAAATTGGACTTGGATAATTTAGATTTATGCAGCTTAGAGCTACTAATATCTAGACAAATTCTGCCCGATTCCATTTTACTGTGCGAGATCTGGAAAATAAGAACTGATCTGAATTTGTTCAGAGACTGTTAGAAACTTAATTATCTTTGCAGTAGATAATAACTATCACAGGCCAAAGAATAAGACACTATGTAAAGTATGCAAATTAGGATAGCAGAGACATGTAGCATAGCATCTGGATGCACGATATGACATATAAGTATAAAAATTTACAAAATGCACTTACTTAAGGTGCATGACAGGAACTATAAACTTTTTGTCTCTATAGTGCTCCTGTATAAATACATTTCTACACAGTCAGATTGGATTTTCTTTTGAGAAAGATCATTATATTGCATATGTATTTATACTCATACAAAAAGTATAACCAAAAGTTTTCAAATGTAATTTTTAATGTACAATCCTGCTGAGTTAACATTTAATTAACATAATGCTATAGTTTCTTTTAAGGTTGTGAATAGGTTTCAGGTTTTCAGGGACCAGAACTTCTGAACTTTAGTTTAGAAAAGCAGTCATGTCTCTAATTACTTTTATCTCATGTATAACTGCCAACTTTTCTTAACAAATGTGGTACTTCTTTAAGTCTTCACATTCCAAGTGCATCTCTGAATATACTCTGAAACTCTCAGCATGTCAAAAAATAGTCCTTAAGGAAAAACAAATAAAACCCTTTTTTTGTACCATGAGGATTATTTCTGATACTTGTGTTAGTAACTAAAGCTATTATAAGCTAAGTAGTTCAATAGTAAGCCTACTACAAATCATTTCCATGGCTTTGAACATGTGCTTTATCTTTAAAAAGTATAATTATATTGTTCAGTTTTGCCCACTTAGAATCATACAGAAGATTTAGCAACTGTGAAACCCAATACGTGACTTAACTGGAAAATTAAAATTTCTGAAGTGGTCAGCATTTTCACAGTGCATATATGAAGACATTTGCAATAGAGCCACTGAGGACACCAAATTCAGACAAAGCACTCTACTGGTTCTGTGGCATTGATTTCTTTGCAAAAGGTTAGTTTACATTGTTTGTATCTTCTTACTGTTTTTACCTGGTAAAGTTTTCTGGTCCTCATTGACTGCAGGGAATTCTTTCACCAGCTCCTTGTCTTCTCTGTTAAGAGAGAGCCAGCACTTACAGTCAAAGTTCAGTTCTTGTTTTGTACGTAGCTCTTCTAAATGAAAAGACTTCAAATGCCAACCATCAAAGCCTGGCACATCATCACAGCTGACCCGAATCTTGTATACATCTCCCAGATCTCCAGTCTCAACCTGCAACAAATATCATAAGGAAGAGTCTACTGTCAGGGCTGGTTCACTTACAGAGATTTTCCCAAACAATGTAGAATTCCTGAACTTGACATTAACCAATGGAAAAGCTGAATCAGAGGCTGGAATAAGTGTGATAAGGGAATCAATCCTTCTCTTTTTCATGGTATGATCATGGGTGACATTGTCTCCCTTATTCTCCTTTGTCTCCCTTATTAGTATTGTGAGCATGATACTCTACCATTAGGGTGAGTCAAGGTTAAAATTAGAAACACCTGTGCATTTAAGCTCTTTAGACAAAAAGTAACATGTAAAGCTTCAACCCTACTGGATAAGGGGAGCATTAACTTACAATTAAAGGTTCTGCTACAAGCAGTCAATACTGATGCTACGTATGGGAAATTCAGTATCTGGCTGCTGATTGTGGTCTTCTGTGAGATCTGGTTAAAGCACCCAACCTAGGGCTATGGGAACTGGGATGATCAAACTGCATTAAGCACTAATGATCTGCATGACATTAACCACTGCATGATGTCTTCTGAACACCAGGAAGAGGAGTGCTGCAGCCTTTCACTGGGCAACTGTAAGAAAGACAGGTTGGGAAGTGATTTTTGAGCGAAACAAGACAGAACTATTATTTTTGTTCTGCTTCTCAACAGAGCTCTGCACTTGACAGCACTTCACTGCTGACCTAGCTTGCTTAAAGCTAGTTCATGTGCCTTTGCACAGTGGACACATACATGTAGAGAAGTATCAGCTACTTAGTCTTATGCTTATTAGGGAGGCACCATATAAAAGTGTGGTATTGTCATTTTGGGAGGGAGCTGGCCACCTTTATTAACAACTGTTATGCAGATAAGAAATAGTAAAACATCAGAGTATGAAGAGGAACAGTTAATTGGAAATAAAGCAACCTGCCAAAATCATTTTACAGAAGCTTGAACTATTTATGATGTAGAACTTAGGAAAAGAGGCCTATAGTAGGAAGGAATTGCACTTGATGACTTAAAAGATCCCTTCCAGTCTGAATTTCTTAAGGTGTTATAAGTGGTTACCATGCCATTTCTACAAAATTTCAAGGTTTAAGGCATTGTTCTTTAACAACCAGGGAAGAAATCCTTCCCACTGTCTACATAACAGCCCCGAGGCTGCAGGGAAGCTCTCAGCTCCTGAACTGTAACTCCACAGTACCCACAATAGCCACACAGCAGTAGCTTTCCATTGAAGTCGAGGGCACCAGACTTGTCCTCTCTTTAAGCCTAGCCTGCCCTGCCTGTCTGTATGCCATCATGCATACAGAACTTGAGGCTGTCCCAGACTACCATGCACGGGTGACGGGGGTTATGTCTCTTGGATCTACCACATTCTCACAGATTCCTGACCTGGTCTCCACCATTGCACCATGGAAAGGGAAATATGTGGGCAGAATTTCATGTCAAGAGTTTTTCATGACATGCTATCCTTTGCAGCTGTGTATGTTGCAAAGGATCTCATTAGCTATGGTGGGCTGTGGTCTAATTCTCCTAAAATATGCATTCATCTCTTACTAAACTTAACAGGAATTATCTGGGTTCATTGAGAGGAGAGCACATGGGTTCTTCACCCATCTAAACTACAGTTCCTTCACAGGCAACCAGATCATTGCTGTTTCTATTTCAGAACCAGACTACTGACTTGTAAAATTACTGCCTGCAGATTTTCTTTCTTGTAGATGGACCTCATGACTGTATCACACAGCTACTCTAAATGCCGTGCACAACTTATTCCATAAAGCTCTCTGGTTTGGAGTTGCAACATTACAGAACTTGGTTATTTTTATATGACAGGGCAAGCTGTACCTCACATTTTACTTTGTCTTCTGCTACCCAAACCTGCAGATCTCTGGGCTTCTAAATTGTTATAAAGACGTGTTATAATCCTTGTAGGAAATGTACATGAGATACATAGAAAAATCATTTCAGAATACAGGACAGACTATTTAAAAGCCTCTATTGTCCCTTTTGTTTCTAGAATCACAATTGCAATTAATTCCATGGCTGTCTTTGGACCAGCAAGCACTAGCAATCATTATATCTATGATCCGTGGAATTAAACACCAACAACTATTTTCAACTGAGTGTATTAGATATTTCCCTCCTTTTCATGGGTTTGTTTTTTTCCCCCACAGTTCTGGCCATTATTATCCTTTCTGTTCAACTCCATCACTATAACAGAGCATTGCCATTACATCATTCTTGTAATCCTTTTCTGAGCAATTTGATACTATCAGTTTCCCTTTGGAATATGATATCCTATCTTTGATCCCATAATTGTTTTTTCCTTCCATCAATGCCTATTAATTGATGTAACATGACCTTCAAAGTAGACACAGACAAATATTCCATCACAAAGTATATATCCAATGAATATCCTGGGTTTAAGTTTGCAGGATGTTTGCAAGAGGACAGTTTATGTTGTTCTTTATTCATGATTATAATTTCCACATTTATTTCTTCTGAACAGTTTTATGTAATACTCAGTACTTGAAATCTGAGCTGAGTTGGATGTGATTTGTCATATACTAAACAACATAATATTTTTTCCATTACATGATTGAAGGAGCATAGCTCTTATAATCAAGAGGATGCTCTGGCAAAGCCACTGGGGTTTTGAAGCTCTCAGAGACAGATTACTGATGAAGGTGATTAGTGCATTTCATAATATTTTAAATCTTTTCTTTTTTGACTCACACAGGGCTTCTCCAAAGACATCATGCCTAACGTAATTAAAGCTTTGTAAAATTTACTGTTTGGGCGCACATTTAAATTAAATCCTTTATCACTTCCCTGTTGAAAAAAAAAAAAAAGGTGCATAAATGATTCTAGTTAAAAGGGTGTGGTCAAAGCATTCTTAAAGTTCAGCTGAACATCTTTCTGTCAGGAACTTCAGAAATCCTGCTACTTGTTGTTTGGAGCATCATCTCATACTGTGGAAAACACATAGACTATTGCATTATGTGTTTTAAAATTTTCTGTCACCCTCATAGTCCTTAACACAAAGTGCATTCCATATTTTTTGTGTATTTACAAACAGTCCTACCTGCAGAGCTCTGTTGCTCATTTAGTACTACCTGTGCTAGTGCTTTAGAGAGTAGTTTTAAGGATCCCAATCCCACAATCTGTCAGTCGATGTATATTTGCATTTTATGATTCTCTGGATAATAGAATGTGCACAATACACTAGGACTCTCCAAGGGCATGGTCTGATAAGCTTACTCGGTAAGTAACCAAGAAACACTGATCAATGGGAGAAAGTTATATACACTTTACAAATTTACTCATTCCACGTGAGATCAACAATTGATTCCTATCATCACCGGAATATCAAGGAAAAAAATTCTACTACTGCACTGTCAGTTTACCTTCATTTTCCCAGCTATTTTTCAATGTGTTTGCTCATTGGAGATGGCACGCTAGAACTCTGAGCAGATTCAATGACATTGACACATTCACCTATTTCTCAATGTATTTATTAGAACTAAAGTGTTCTAATTAAGTTTATTCTTATTTAAGCAGCTGACCCACTGTACTACAGAAACCTGAGACCACCGAAACCAAACAACTGTACCTGATAGCATGCTGCTATTTTATCTCTTTTAACAATTTATTCTTTATGCTTGCTACATGCAATTAAACTACACCTTTCATAGCAGTTGGTTAGAAATATTTTGGATCAAATAATAATTCTGAATACAATACACATCTGTGCATATATTCGAGTGAGAGCATGTGGAAAATCATGAATTTATACGCCTTCCTGTCCTCGGTGTGCAATAAATGTATCTCACAGATCAAAATTAAGCTTACTGTTTCAAAACAATGTGAGCTGCTTATAGCACATAACCTGTTGTTCTTTTTACTGCACTATATTACTGAGGACACTTGTCTAGGACCAGGATCTTGCGGGGGGGTTAAAAGTTTATTTACTCCTGCTTGTTGGAAAGCTCAATTCACCACTTGTCCTCCTTGTGATACCATGCTCATGCCTCCAGCCTGCTGCTACAGTGGGAGAACATGAGCAAGGCTTCTTCATTTTTTTTCTGAATAGCCTTAGTAAGAACAAAGAAAGGGAGAGCAAAGAGAAACTGCATTTATTAGCCGAACCACCTAGAGAAGATATGAAGGTATTTATGGAGATACATGTGAATCCCCAAATGCTCCTTTATATCAGGCCCGCTATTCTGATTTCCTTAGAATGCCACAAAAACTGTAAAACACTGTAAGTAATGTGGCAGACAGACAACATTTCATGCACAGTAAACAATGCTCAAATAGTATTAACTTCTTCATACAAAGCAACAAAAACAAGGACACAAATAGCTAAGGGGAAAATATAAGCACTAACCCAAAGCCAATTCAAAGTATGAACAAGCTTTTAGAAAGCCATTGGGGTGGAAGCCCAGTATGATGGACATGGTACTATGGTACCTAGGAGAGTAGACTGGGAGGGACAACCACAGCTGACACATAACTACTAATTTCTCCTAGCATGATACTCACTCATTGAAATTAGGCAATCTTAACAAGGAATACATACCATTTAGGAAATTACCAACAAGTTGTATGTAGCAGAGGTCTGCTTTATGGAATGACGCTTGCCAAAATTCAGCCAGCTGGTGTGGTTGCTCCATACATAGACTCTGCCTCTATTGATCTCTTCAGTTTATGTCACTGGCTTAGGAAGCTCCTTTTGTTGCTCAGTGTGTTTCCTGTCTGTTTTCTGATAAGCAGCTGCTTTCTTGTCGTTAACAAGTACCATTTATCTTTTCATTTACTCCCCATAAATTTCCTAAATTGCTTTAGCTTGTTATTTAAATTAAAAATTCAGCCTGGATCATGTCATGATGATGAAGCTTTGACAACATTTTCTAAATGTAGTTTTGCCATTGTTTTCAGAATGTTTATTGCAGCCATTGAAAAGTATTTCTGAGCTTTATAAAACTGCCTTGAATTCACAAGCTATTT